AATTCCATACTGTGAAACATTCCAGACAAAACAATAACATCTCCATGGAGAAAAGCTCTCCAGCCTCCACCAGAAAAGTCTTTAAAAGTTCATTAATATATGCTGTCCCTTTACAAATAAAAATGAAATTTCCGCAACTAAGCCTAAACCCACAAGGACTCCACAGCACGACACAGGTCCTGGCATTACCTCACGCTCACATCCTCTCTCTCTCTCCGCTTGCGAAACAAAGGGCACCCATCCAACACCAACCATCCAGGCCCGTCCTTAATGACAGGGGTGCGCTAAGTGATGCCAGCGGCCAGGACTTGAGCTGGAGGTGGCTTTCCACATTCAGGATTCTACTCCGAAACATGTGGTTTGTCCTCTCTACCCAAAATGAGAGATTGGATGAGGAAAGGCAGGGAGCAGGAGACCGCAGAATAAGCTACAAGCCCGGGGGGAGAGATCTATGCTAGCTCAGGTGGGATAGGATTCCTCTTTTCAAGTCAAGACTGCTTTGGCATTAAACACTAGCAACATACCCTTTGGACAGAATATGAGGATGAGGTTTGTGCTTGCAATTCAATCGTTTTTGCAAATTTCCTTCTGACATCACCAGTGCATATGGGTGCCATTTAATCCTTGTGGTTTTGGTTTTAGGGCTATACGCGAATGACATGACCAAGGTTTATTTTTGACCCTTCGTTGCACGTATCGCCGAAGCGGACACATGGACGGAATAATGAAGTTCTGGGGGAAGTTGTGGAAAGAAAAATCCGTCTTCGTCTGGGGCCCAAAATGGAGTCAAACTGCGCAAAGTAAAAAATATTACATAGAGCTCAGCAGTTTTAATAGTTCTATAAATGAAGAACAAAATGGGGGCATTTTAGAGTCAAAAAGTTAAAGGTCCTATATACTTGTGAGCTTTAAGCCAGCCCCTAAAACATACCTGGAGTTGTGTTTTGTTTCATTCACACATGTTTGAGTAGCTATTTATTAGTCTGTCTACATCTCCAAAGCTCAAAATGCTCAGTTACATCTTGTGATGTCATGAAGCAATAGTTTTTAAGTTAACAGCTACATTTTGTTCAGTAGAAAGCAAATCCAGGACTGAAATTATCCAAATGATTCTCGTGAAGGTGTATGGAGTTTAAAATCACTGTGGAGCACTTTCTGTATTACCACATGACATCACAAGGTGGTACAGAATGTTTTCTGTTTGAGAGAAAAACTCATTCTAAATATGCAGGATTTGAGTGTTGAACATGTGTGAATGAAACAAAACACAACTCTGGCAGAAAATAGCCTAATGTGGGCCCTTTAAAATAGAGCTATCATGTGTAACTTGTAACTTTACCAACACATCTGATTCATAACATATGTAATCTGGCCAAAAGTGACATTTCCAACTCTTTCTCTCAACAGATTTTGGGTCACCTTAAGTGCAAATGCTGTAAATCTCCCAAGCTTTAAAGCACCCACAGTGTCAGCGTGGATACATCCAATTGTAATGCTTGAGGACATGTCCAAATGAAGTCAAGAATCAAGTCGTGCGCTAACAAGTTTAAGATTTACGACTGTCTCAAGTTCTTAGGAAATGGTCCAAGAAAAACCACCACTTATTGAAGGCAAGTCCAAGTTTGTAAAGCTACGTTTTCTTGGCTTCGTTATTTTAGTGGATCTTCCTCTTAAAGAAAACCAGCTGCTGCACCAAACACAGTGTCCTGACTTGAACATTCTGAATTTCAATTGAAGTAGATGTTTTTGTTTTTGGAGGTTACATTTTTAGTCACACATGTTAGATGCATTCAAACTAAATGACTAGACTTCGTAATTATCGGTCCGCTCTGCTGTGTCAAATCTGGCATTTGGCTGAGATGGCAGACTCTAAACCTGTCATTGCTCTGGGTCAGCTCCACAAGGAAGTCCTTAAAGGTGCACTATGTAACTTTTCAGAAGGGGGGCTTGTTTCTATGGAGATGTCATTGCTCTGCCTGGAATGTTCCACAGTATGACATTTAACCTTCTACCTTACATTTATCCAATTGCAGGTGGTTTTATAGCTCAAATATACCTAAAAAAAAACAGGCATTCTGATTGTGAGTGGGGTTATCTCTCCACAGATCTGACCTGTAACACCTGTTTTTTGGAAGTTACATTTTTAGTCACACATGTTAGACACATTGAAACTAAATGACTACACTTCCTAACTTTCTGGTGCGTCAAATCTGGCGTTTGGCTCCGGGAGAAGGTGGATTGTAAACCTGTCATTGTTCTGGGTCAGGTCCCCCGAGGAAGTCCTTAAGGCCCACCACACGAGGACAGGCACTTTGCGTTTGGATCCCTCCCTCCTCCTCCTCCTCCACCTCTTTCGTCTCTTCTCGGAACGAGCCAAGCACGGAAAGCCTGTGTTCCGTCAGGGCGTCCAAAATTCCATGACTTTCCCAGAATTCCCGGCGTGAGCCAAGTAATATATTGTGTTGTCATCTATCGAGACTCTAATGAAAATCCACAAGGAACACAGGCGAAGATCTGGGCTTTCACCTTAAAATAGGACAATATTGTAAAAATTGAGGCGTAACTCATCTGTAAACATTGAATATCCTATAAAGTAAGCATCTGTCAGTGCATGATTCATACAAAGCCAGGAATTCTTATTTGAGTTGTATAAACAGTTTACTAAAAGATATACATTATGAAATAAGTTTGTTTAGTTGCTTTGTCTACAGAATATCACATTTAAGCAGTGCTGTTGAACTCAATTATGTTCCTTAAGAAAAAGTACAGACATTGAAACCAAAAAAAAAAAACTCAAGTAAAAGTAAAGGTATCACATGAAATCTACTTAACTACTACTTAAAAATACAAATACAAATATGTCAAAAATAAACTCACCAGCCTTTTCAGCAGGTCCTAAACTATAATGAAAAGTACTTTTACTGTTCTGTCCTGTTAAAAAACTGTAGTGGAGTAGAAAGTACAGATACCTGCTCGCAAATGTAGTGAAGTAAAAGTAAAAAATACTTAAGTAAAGAACAGATACCTAATTGTATACTTAAGTACAGTAAGTTCTTTTACCTTATTACCACCACTGCACATGAGCGGTAAAAACAATTATCCATATTTGTCAATTTACACAGGGTAATAAAATGCGGGAGGAATATTTGCAGGAATATTTCTACTACTATAATGACCTCCACCTCCAAAGAAGTCCACAAACGTCACATTAAATAGATTCAATTGAATTACTGATAATATGAAACATCATGCAATTTTGGTTTTGAGCTTCCCTTTTATCTGCTGTGTTAAGATTGAACTGTTTTTTGACATCTTCCATTAGCCTGAAATGGAGTGGAGCACCGAGCCAGGAAATTTAAATAAAAACCACGCAACGGACATGCTTAAAAAGGCTTTGATAGACCACAGACTTATTTTCACCAATGGAAGCGTCACGTTTTGAAGTCCACTGTAAATCACTCTTCTTCACTTCCCTTCGTTCACCATTTTAAAAGCTTTGGCAGATTTCGACAGTGACGCTGCCTAAATCAACAGTGGGCGTGCTGTTTTAGTGCAAATTTAGAAGATTATGAAGCGGCCATAAAAAGGAAAACTTGCCACAAAATATGACTGACAGCATTGCCTCGTGCGCACTTCTACCGCATTACCTTAATCATGTGTGTTTAGGATAAGTGACAATAATATTTCAGTTGGTTTATGTATCTGTGCTATGTGTGGTTTTGTACGGTTCTTTTCATCAACCAGTTTAAATGTAATTGTGGTTTTAGTAATGGCTTGGTCGCACAGAAACAGAGGAAAAGCGGATTCTGACCATAACAAGCCTTTTCCAATAGAACACAATGGAGCAAAAGTTTCCATCATTGAACTCAAACTAATTAATGTGCCTATGACAGATTAGACTACTCATTTTACTAAAACACAGTTAATATCATTATATTTAAGATTTTATAAAACACTTTACAACTTTCTGGTTGGAAAATATGACTAGCATTAAGATAGGCAAGGGAATTCCATAACTGCTACCTAAGAACAGTACAGTAGGCCAAATCTTCTCTAATGTACACAGAAATTATTATTTGCTGAATAAAAATATAAGGAAACACCTTTATTTAGTTGAAATAATGTTTAATCTATCAGAAAAATGTGTTTTTGTGTAAACTGTGCCAAACGTTTGGACAGAATTCTCCCTATTCTCCCTTTGATGTTCATTCAGTGTGTTGAACTCTCTACTTCCTTTTTAGTTTCAACATATTTTTCAACTTTTCTTCACAAACTATAATACAGGAAGTGCTTTTTAAACTCCATACACCTTAGCTAGAATCATTTGGGTGATTTTAGTCCTAGAGTTGCACATATTTAATGAACTAAAGATAAAGGGTTGCAGTTAACTTGAAAACTACTGCTTCACAACATCACAAGGTGGAATAGAGCATTTTGAGCTTTGGAGATAAGGCAGCAGCATTATAGCATGGCTTAAAGCTCACAAGAATCCATTTTGTGTAATGCAGAGAAAGAAATCATTATTAAACTCCACTGTAAGAAAAAAAAATGGTGGTTGCTACAAACTACATTCTTGGGTACTTTTTTCATCATACACACCACATATCAGAGCAACACGTATTATTGCTTCAATTCAAAATCAGTCAAATGAATTTAGTTTTTCAACCAGACAGCTGAAACATGGCCATCATTGCATCATACTCAGACATGGTCAAAATGAAGCCAACAACCTATTTGGACTTCTCTTGTTCTCAAATATGAACATTATACAAAAAGGAACAATATTTGGATTTCCAGTAAGCTCCACAACCACAGTTTAGTCTCAGGGGGCTACTGTGTTTGTCTACGGTGATCTTAAATGCATAAATTTGGGCCCTAAATGATACACACTTTCAGTAACATTAGCTAGACCCAGACCACACTGTCACTGCCTGCTGCTAAGAGTGATGGAGCCTTTTTTCCTAGTCATTGCTTAAGACTTGTACTATCTGTTTCCACAGCCGTGAGCCTGCTGACCCAAGAATGCGGCCAGATCTCCAGCACATTGTTTAACAGGGCCCAGCAGTGGAGTGGAGAAGTCAAATGTTTAGTTTGCAGGGGGTTCGCTCAGTGTGTTTTGGAATCATTATGTGCTGTTGCATTGTTGCCATTTATTGATTTTCCAGAAACTCCAAAAGCATCGCGAAATATGTTCCCAGTACAGTAGATCTCAATGGGGAAAGTCAAGAGATATATGATAACAGATCCACAGGAATGTTTGGTTTCAGCAAACACAATTTAAAATTCTGCACGGAAACAGAGCAGAACCAAAACTAACTGAACGGAAACTGTCAAAACTTGTAAAGCAGGAATTCAAATCTGTGTGATACTGAAAAATAGTATCACAAAATGGTAAGTTTGAATAGGCAGCTAGAACCGCACATTAGGGGCAATGCCAGGGAGGGCTTGAGGGGGCACTAGCCTCCAGAGGTGGGGACTTGCAAGTCATGACTTGGACTCGAGTCAGACTTGAGTCACTATTTTTAGGACTTGAGACTTGACTTGATAAAATAGAAAAAGACTTGGGACTCGACCTGGACTTGAAGATCAGTGACTCGGGATTTAACTTGGACTTGAGCCCTGTGACTTGGGAAGACTTGAAGCTTCTCCTTAAAAATATATGTTTTTAGAAAATACTTTTCTCTTTTCATCTGATACATGTGGCACTTAATTTTACAATCTGGACCATGTCCCTCCCACTTCTCTGTTTGTTACTTTGGATGTAACTGACGTATTGTGATACGGTATCCTCAAAGTACTACAGTAATATACAGTACAATACAGTAAAACAGAGGGAAGTACACAGAACATGATAGTTCCATTTCAGTACAGATTACATGACAAAATAAGGCCAGAATGGCCAAAGCAGTCCCATTGCTGCCCAAAGATATTTTGCCCCATTTTCATAGGGCATTAAATCTCGAAACTAAAAGTGTTCAAATGACAACCACAAAGTGTTCAAAATAAGACTATACTTTTAAAAAATGCATATTAGATTTAAAGGTACACTGTGAAACTTTTCTGGTGGAGGGTCCTAATGCTTTTCGCTATGGAGTTGTTATTGCGTTGTCTGGAACATTTCACAGTATGGTATTAAACTTTTCTCTCTTCATGGAGAAAGGTTGAGAGCTGTGGAAAAGCAACCCCACTCACAGTCAGACTGCCTGTTTTTCTAGGTATTTTGGGTTATAAAACTATCTGTAATTGAATAAATGAAAAGAGCAATGACATATTTATAGAAACAAGCAGGTGGCAGACAAAGTGCACCTTTAATAAAGCAATACAGGGGCTAACTGCATTTAAACTGGTTGAAGACAGTATTGGGTATTGAGGGTTGGGGTGCGCTCCTACCCATAAAAAGTCTCTAAATTAACATGTTAAATGAGCACGCCCACTGAAGAACTTAGCAACCCCATAACTCCTCCAACCAAAAATATCTGTCGCCCCGCCTGCTACAAATCACAATAAAAGGCCTGAAAAAATAAATTTATTTTTATTGGACACGTTCACTGTACCCATCCATATGTGTCCTCACTTTCACTAAAACATACTTGAGAGTGGAGCACATTTACCACATCAGTCATCATCTAAACATCACATGCATTTGTATCAAAGTTATCCGTTCCTTCGGCAGACTCAGATGTTTGACAAGCCTCTAACAAATGGCCCCTTTTTTCCTCCTCAAGACCATTGTGTATTCATGGGTAAACATTTAAGAAGCAGAGGACAAGAAATTCTCCCTCACACTCTAAACACAAAGCCACACTGTTCTGTCTTCAATTACGGATTGTCTGCTCAAGTGGCACTCATTCTCTCACTTCTTGTTTTTATCACATGGTACGAGCGAGGTGCCTGCTCCCATTTGATCCAACTAAGCCCCGCCCCCTTCTTGCAGAACACGCTCCCCTTTGCCCCACCCCTTGTCCTGTCTGTCAACCCTTATCGCTATGGCAATTAGAGAGAAACCCAGAGCAATTATGTGCTTCTCTTGAACACACGCCGAACAAACGACACAGCAGCCCTCGCCATTGCAGTCTCAAAAGGCGAGGAAGATTTGTGTGATAGTTTAATGGGAGCGCAATAAAAGTGTGGCATTGCACAGTTCATGTTGTTTATAGTGCACCAGGACCCTATTGAACTTTTTATAGCGGCGGGTGTCTATCTGCATATTCAGTGAGACTGGGGCCATTCAAAGTGAACCAGGCGTCTCAAAGAATGTTACAGACTCCAGCAATAGAGAAGGAAAGGGCCGGTAAATGGAGCCTTTGTTAAAATGGTATTAAAAAGTAAAAATTCCTTCCTCAGCCATGCCCATTTTTGTATTGGCTTAATTCAATCCACAGAACATAGGATACCACAACTGATCACAAATAAACTCCCTTCACTTTTCATTATTTCACTGTAATAACTGGGAATTTTTGGAGGAATATTGGAATTATATAATAAAAAGTATTGTGACCAACATTGAGCCCTGTGGTACACCAAAACCAAGTTGAATATAAGGTTAAGGTTACACTTTTTTCTAATGTCATAATGTTGTTTCCTCATCAAAAATATACCTGGAGTTTTGTTTTGTTTATTTACTGACACACAAACCACACAAACCCTGCATATTGAGGCCGAGCTCTTCTCTCAACCAGAAAACACTCTGTTCCACCTTGTGATGTCTTGTGGTAATACAGGAAGTACTCCACTGTGTTTTTAAACTCCATCTTCACTAGAATCATTTGGATGATTTCAGACCTGGAATTGCCTTTCTCTACTGTAAAAAAAGGTAAAACGTTGTTATATACTTGAAAACTAACACTACATGATGTCACAAGGTGGAACAGAGCATTTTGTGCTTTGGAACTATAGACAGACTAATAATAATCGGTAACTCAAATATGTGTGAATGAAACAAAACACAACTCCAGGTATGTTTTTGAGAAGATAACATTCTAACCTGAGTTAAAGCATCACTTTTATAAAGCAAGGCATCTTTGTCTGAATATAACCCCCTATTTTCCATCACATATGGCTTCATAGCATGGGCCAGAGCAGAAGACCATGCTGCACAACCTGTTACATTCCACGCAATGCAATAGACGGTCTACAGTCTTTCTAGTCTGTGAGTGGGTGACGCGTCCCCTCAAGAATGTGCTTCTCTTCCTCTCTGCATACACTTCAACTTCCCCTCGGGTTGCTTACTTCACTCACGCGGCAGAGGAGCTGTCGCTGGAGGAATCTGGAAAACACCAGTAGAGAATGAGAGGAATTTGTGCTTCTTTCCCTAAACCGACCCCCCCCCCCCCCCCCACCCCTCACCCTTCAGTCTCTTTACTTTGGATGCTTCAATACAAGACGGGCTTTTGACTTTTCTCTTGTTTCTGTACTCGTCCCAACAACAACAAGCTCTCATAAACAATGGGGTTTGTTGATCGGAGGAGTTGAGAGAGAGAGTGGACATCGCCGGCTTGTGTGGAGTCAGGTTTGCTGGCAAGTGGTCCTAAAAGTGCAAAAGTACATGCTGCAATGAGGGCTGTGAGAGATTTAAGGGTAACGCTAAAATAGTCCATCTCTGAAGTACCATAAACACATGCTTTAACTTTTTCTTAATCTACCCTTCATTGGGCAGGATTTTGATGGAGCGGGCTTTAAGAGGGGATGCCGGGGAATGTCAGGAAACCACAGAAATACAGAGAAAGGGGTAGTTTTGGAATAGTCTGAGTTTAGAATACCCATAGGCTCGTAAAGGGAGCCTGGATCATGTTGACAGATTCTGAGGACAGTGTGTTCACTATGTGTTCCATAGGTAATTCAAGTTATGCACCCACTGAAAGTACCTTCAAGTAATGTTTTTTAATATATTATATAATTTTATATATTTTGTAAATGTATATAAATGTATACTTCATTCTTAAAGATTTTATGGTGGCTACTTCCATGAAAAGATTATAAAACTACTAAAACATGAGGTTATGAGCAATGCTTTGAATGGAGAAACAATCAATGTACAACTGTTATATTCCAACTTTGTACAAAATATATTAAAAAAAGGATGTGTGTTGTGTGTAAATTGTCTATAGAACATCAACAATGGAAATAAATATATAGCCCATGTTGAAAAGTTTGCTTTTGTGCTTGAGAATAAATATTTACAACAGTTACTCAAGCAGTACACAAAACTTCTCATCACCTGTGCTGTTCAGTGTCCAGTCCAAATTACAAAAGGATTTGTATTGAATAAAGTGTTTTGTCCTCACATAACTCCGTCTCTTTACTGTTTCCAGTCCTCCTACTGGACATTGTCCCTGTTCTGTTGAAACCATTTTACGACTCTCACGTCAACCAAATCAAAATAAAACTTCAGAAGAGATTCTTGTCAATGAGACACATAAACATAACAGTGTGTTTTTACATAATTTCCAACAGACTGCATACCAGGACAGAACCTTTGGAAACACAAATCCCTTTTTCCAAAATATCCAAGATGCACTGATAAAGCAATGAACGGGTTGAAGGACTGCATCTACACAAAGACTGTGAGTGCCCTCTTGTGGTGAAAATTGGTAACTGAATATTAAAAAAATAACAAAGGAAAATTCATTATAAAATTTCTTTATTTGTATTTACACACAGTAGTCAAAAACTCTGGTATTCAAACACAAGGCATTTAAATATGATAAATTCTTGAATTCAACATTAGCGTCTGTAATAAGAAGGATTTGGTGAGAAGTCATTTTTCTGCAGGTTTGAACGGGTCAGACCAAATCTTCAGCCCTAAAAAGAGATGTAGTACTTTAACAAAATGTACAAATAACCTACAAAACTACAAAAAGATTCAATGAGGTGTGTAAATACAAATGTTATTCAAATGCGCTTTAAGATCTCAAAACATGCTACATGCACTGGTGCTACAACCTGGTACAATGCATAATGTAAAAATTGTGAGCTGTCCCTGTCTCAAACAAACAAATAAATAAATAAATCATTTGATAATTTTAAATAACTGTCACTGTTAGGATTGAGCTATCATCACTATCTGGACTAAAACACTAAGTAATAGCTTTAATATTTCAGTGGGGCATTAACTTTCAAAGTAAAGGTAAAGGTTTAACAGTATGTGATTTGCCTATGACAGGTTAGACTACTCATTTTCATAAAACACAGTTAAGATCAAAAATTATTATCAGACAAATAAAAATATAAGAAAAAAACTTTATTTTGTTGAAATCATGTTTAAAATTAAAAATTTAAATTACTTACTTACTTACTCTTTCTATGTAAAATGCACAGAACCTTTGGATAGATTTCTCCCTAGTGCCATGTCATTAATATTTAAGAACTCTCTACTTCCTATAATTTTCAACATATTCACATATTGCTTCTTGATTTATGTAAATTTATGTATAATTTATATTTACAACAGGTATTATCCAACCAAATTAAGTCAAAATTAGAGATTCATCTAAATCTGTCATACACACTTTACATTATTTTCTGTGTATCTTTTGTATACCAATTTGTCTGACACCACTTCTCCTTGTGCATTATATTGTATGCCAATCAAAATTCTTGCCATGGAACTATAATAAATGACATTCTTACCCACTGGCTGGACATCCGCCTGATTGATTCCCGCTCGATTCACTCTTTGCACTGCCCCTAGAAAAGAAATAACAATGACACATAATATTTAGCTGTGGTTCTGAGCTCAAAAACCAACTCTATAAACAAGATTTATGACACAAAGGCTTATTCCAGAGTTGAAGTCGTTACTAACGGAAAAACTTGCCATTAATTGGACACCATACAGCCACACAAGTTTAATTGCATTTTCCTGGCATGAGTTCATCATTGACCCAATGAGTCAAACTTTCTGTGGCTGGACAGCTGGTTTCATTTTAGCCATATTTGACTACTTTCAATTGTGCTTTGGGTTTTAGAATAACTCCCAAGACACTTCAGAGCAAACGGCAATCAAGACTCTGATGCCTTGTTTTGTTCATAATATATTTTCGAGACAAATGCTGCAGTCAGCTCACAGAGGACCACTAATTTTGAACAAATATGCAAGGGGCACTTTGGGGTTGTTGTGAAACAAATAAGCCACAATCTTGACGATGTTTAGTTTCAGAGATGACGATATCTTGGCTTTTTGTAAAATTACAGTAAGGCCTGATTACTGTATTGTGTGGCATTGTATGGAATGACTAGTACACATTTCAATATCAGGAATAAACTGGTCAAGGACTAAATTCAGACCTAAATCTGGATTAAACCAGGGTCTCAATGATAAGTCTCAATTTTTTTTTTCTTTTTTTGGTTAGAGCAGCAAACACATACTGTGTAAAGAGGAAGACTAACGCTGTGTGTCGTCACCCATAGTGTTTGGCTCCAATCAAATGAAGCTCAGGATGATAGCAGTTACAGGAGTAAATTTGGAGCCAAATTCCACATCAGGAATAGGAATTTATTTGCAGACAAAACAGTGAAATAAAAACAACAGAATGATGTAGAGCGGGTCAATGCAAACATTTTAACACTGCAGCAGCAGTTCCACGGAGAGGGGGGATATTTTTCAATACAAAGTCAATTGAAGTCGATGATTAGCTAAGTCCATTTATACAGTCTATGGTCGCAACAAAGGAAAGGTTGACCAGTGAACACTAATAAAAATGTGTTTAAACATGTTTATCTCTGAATGTCAAGACATTGGTCAGACTTTGATTTAAAAGTCCTAAAATAAAGTAATTCTTACTATAGTCCTCACTACAGAGTCATTGTGGACAGAACCAGCATCTTTGAAGGCTGTCCCATTGACTATCAGCTTATGTCTCCTCCTGCCTCTCTCCTCCTGCTTCTCTCCTCTCCTCCTGCTTCTCTCCTCTCCTCCTGCTTCTCTCCTCTCCTCCTGCTTCTCTCCTCTCCTTCTGCTTTTCTCCTCCCTTCCTGCTTCTTTCCTCATTTCTTCTCTCCTCCTTTCTTCTCTCCTCCTCTCACCCATTTCCTGCAGAATCAAGGAGAGAGGTCAAGGAGAAGGAAACGAGGAAAGAGAAATGAAATGCGACCGCTATGTCTCCTTCATGGTTGGGACTTCTGCACTTATTTTCTGCACATAGATCAAGGAGGCAAGGGAAGGGAATTGAGACGCAGCCCGAGTTTACAGGAATGAAAGTGTGAATGGATCCACAGACACAGAGTAGTTAGTAGTAGTTTCACGTTGCCTCTGCTTAAAAGAAGCTCTCAATTTAGTTCAGGATAAATGATACAACATTTGCATTCACTAAATAAGAATTTGCAAAGGGACTTGGACGTGGCATGGGTTATTTTGAGGCATCATAATCGAATTCAGGCAAAAGGTTACACAATGACAATTATATAAATATCAAGTTTAGCCAAGCACGGTCAAAATTGCGCTAAATATCAACATGTTGTTAATTAAATGTATGAGAACATGATACCCTAGCCTTTTATGTTTAGGTCTTCTATAGAAAGTTAAATAAGCCAGTAGTTACACTTAGCAAAAAAACAGACGCTTCATTTGTAAAGGCTACTTACTGTACTCATCTTTGTGCGTCAGCGGGTGGATAAAGATTGGATAAAACGCAGCCGCCACCGCCGTTACAAATCCTCCAAATATGAGCGCTATTCGTGTATTTTTAGACATTTTACGGTTCAGGAGATGACAAAACGTTCTGTAATCTGTAGTGTTTACATCACAGACTGTATCCGGTGTAGAGGTCAAGATGAGAGCCAGCGCATGCTATGGATCCATGGATTTTGGTCAGTCGGGGCTTCCGTAGTATTTACGTCAGTGTCATACGTCGAAGCATAACAATAACAAGGAAGTGGATGATTTGGGGGGGAAATAGTTTTCAGAAAACGCTGTCAGACACTCGTTATAATGACGTTTTTAGGCGTTTTTATTTGTTTTGTCAGTTGGAGCTATGTGTACCAAACAACAGCAGAGGAGGATTTGCTAATACAGACATTTGTTATTCCTCATAGTCACATGGATGTTGGATGGGTTTACACTGTTCAAGTAAGAGCTTATGAACTTTGCTTTTATTACTATCTGAATTCCAGTAAAAATGCCCTTGTACAAAGCAAATATGAATAGTTAGGGATGGTATAAGATCTTGTGCCCCAAGCTCTCATCAGACAAATTTGCTACAAAATTGTGCACACATGAGAAAAATTATTTTGTGAGTTTTTTTTTTTTTTCAGTTACAACTATAGATTGTATCTTATAGTTCCAAAAAGCAGTCCTAGAATGGAAATAAAAATATAAAATCAAATAAATAAAAAATATAAAATCAAATAAATAAAAAACTGTGATGCCAAAATTGGAAACTGAATCACAAAATGCATATATTAGGAATAATGTTAAAATCTCTTGTCTCATTTTCTGGACCCAGTTTCGTGTCTTGTCTCATCTTGTGGAAATTGTGTCTCATCCCATTCCATTATTGGACATGGTTTTGTTTTATTAGGAGAGTATGCACGCTTATGCAGCCAATGTGTACAGCAGTGTGACTGAAGAACTGTCCAAGGTCAAAGATCGCAGGTTTATTGTGGTGGAACAGGAGTTTTTCCGACTTTGGTGGGACACTGTCGCCACGGACTCACAAAAGAAACAAGTATGATTGTTATAATGTGATATGATTTAATGCAAGTGTTCCATGATATATTGTATTCTGTTTCTGGATTCATTCACTCAGATATTGGAACTTTCTTTCTATAGGTACGACAGCTTGTTAAAGAGGGGCAGCTAGAGTTTATTATTGGAGGCCAAGTAATGCATGATGAAGCTGTGACAGATTTGAATGACCAGATACTGCAAATGACAGGTAAAGAATCAGATTTGAACTGGGGTTAAGTTGATTGTGTCTTAGATTTAGGCAGACTTTACTGATCCACAAGGGAAATAATTTGGTCACAATAGGTCACACATAACAATAAATATAATAACAAAGTGCAAAAATATAAATGGTAACTTATTCAAAATAAGTAGCAAAAATTAAAAGGGACTGGTGTAGGTACAAGAAATATTAAAATATAGATATATAAATGTAAATATATTTTGGCTATATACAAGAGGTCATAAGGAGAAACAATGCAAACATGAAATATGATTGACAGGGCATAGGGTTATCTGTTACATAAGTAAGTAAGTTGTTGTACAATTGTATGGGGTATAGTATGAATGTAGTCCTGTATCTCTCACTGTTTGAGCGGAGCTGTAGAAGCCTGTTGGAGAATGAGCTTCCTGTCCCTCTACACAATATATATGATGCTTGGTTCTTCTCTTTATGTTCCACAGAGGGCCATGGTTTCCTGTATGAGACTTTTGGTGTACGTCCACAGTTTTCATGGCATGTGGATCCCTTTGGAGCTTCAGCCACCACTCCTGTCCTTTTCGCTCTGACTGGGTTCAACGCTCACCTCATCTCTCGCATTGACTATGATCTCAAAGATACTATGCAGATGGACAAAGTAGGTTTATAAATGCGATAAAGCATTATTATTATTATTATTATGTGTGTACTTACACAATTGTATTGATTTAAACAGAAACTACAGTTTGTTTGGCGAGGTTCTCCCTCATTAAAGAAGCAGGAGATCTTCACTCACACTATGGACCAGTTTAGTTACTGCACCCCATCCAATCTACCTTTCTCCAATAGGTAGGTCTTAAAAGTTGTCTTAAAAAAATAAGATTATTTTGTTTTGTGTTTTGTGGTTTATTGCATGATGTCTCTGAAGGGCTCATGGTGACAGTCTTTTGTTCATACTAACAATCCAGAGTTATGTAGATGCAAGTTGTGGGTCCTTGTTTATAAAAGGGCCTAAATTGCGCTATTTTCTGATCTACTGTATGTTATAATGTTGTTTCCTCATCAAAAACATACCTGGAGCTTTGTTTCATTCACACATGTTTAACACACAAACCCTGCATATTTAGGCTGAGTTATTTTCTCAAACTGAAAAATCTGAAAACATATAGTGCTCCACTGTGTTGTTAAACTCTAGACACCTTCACTAGAATCAATTTGATAATCTCAGAAATAGAATTCCCAAGACCCACAGAATTAGGTATAGGTAAATAGGTAAAAAGGTAGGTAAAAATTGATAAAAAGTAGCTGTTAACTTGAAAACCATCACTACATGGCATCACAAAGTGGAAAAGAGCATTTTGAGCTTAGGAGATGGAGACAGACCAATAATAAAAAAATACTCAAACATATTTTTGATTAGGTAACAGCATTATAACATGTCTTAAAGCTCACTAGAGCCAGTTTTATGTCATTAAAGTTTTAGCCACCTTTATATTCCTGTGTTTTTAGTTCTGGATTTTATTGGAATGGTGTTGCCTTATTTCCTGATCCACCTAAAGATGGCATCTACCCCAATATGAGTCTTCCTGTTACTAAGGAGACCATTCATGCCTATGCACAGACCATGGTGGATAACATTAAACAGAGGGCAGCTTGGTTTAGGACCAACCATGTCCTGTGGCCTTGGGTAAGTTAAGACATTTTGTGTATATTATGTATTAAAGTAACTGTACTAATATGTATATCATTATTACTATTATTGTTTATAGGGCTGCGATAAACAGTTTTACAATTCATCTGTGCAATTCAAGAACATGGACCCTCTAATGAAGTACATAAATCAAAACAGCAAAGACTTTGGAGTAACAGTCCAGTATGCTACACTTAATGAATATTTTAAAACTATTTATAATTCTGATCTGGAGTGGGAAATCCGTGGTAGTGAAGACTTTTTGCCTTATTCTACAGGTAAGCAATGAAATGTCACGGTGGGGGAGTTCTGCATGTATGTGTATTTGTGGAATGTTCACCAGTTACCATGAAGACACAATTCACACATTAGCGAACACAGCCAAAAAGTTTTTAGGTTGTGTGAAAACTCAAGAAAAAATACAAAATAGATTCAACACCACATTTTCAGGAGCCTGTGATCAATACAAATGTTCATGGTTCATGGTTTGATTTTTCAATAAAAAGGCAAATGTGACTAATGAGAATGGGAATGGGACTTCTTTAGCAGCACAAAATCAGAACCTTTTGTAGTTCAGAACCTTTTGTAGTTCCAGGTAAATCGGTTCTTTCCGGTCAGATTGTGTTGAAATAAAGATAAGATTAAAGTCTAATAAAGCCTCAGCCAGAGCAGTGCTTACAGTTAGCATCACACCCCCAGAGAATGTTTTATGATATCAGCTGCAAAGTATCATTATGTATGCATTGTTTTATAGAATCACACCAAGCCTGGACTGGATTTTATGCATCAAGAAACGTTTTGAAAGGAGTGGCGAGACAGGCTAGCTCCAAGTTACACTCAGCGGAAACCATTTTTACTCAATACAGAATAAGTTATCCTGATGGACCTGTAGCTAAAGTCTGGGCACTAGACAAGCTTAAAGCACTACGCTGGGCTGTTTCAGAGGTTAGTGGATTTAAGAGACTTTTCAGCTGAATACTTTTAAAATAACATTGTATTAATGTTGTCACGATACTAAAATTTCAAACTCGATTTCAGTACTAAGGAATAGACTCGATACTCAATGCCAAAATCCAATAATACAATGATATTAAAACACTCAATAACACCAATAGAATGTAATTTTCAGCATGAAATTATAGCACTGTGTTTTGTATTACCATGTGGTCTTATATCTGTGCAATAGCTCAATAGCCCAGGTAGTGTCTATAGTGGTCCATGGGCGTATATACATGTTCTGATACAGCTCAAGTTCTTTCTAAAGATATTTAGGAAAGGTTCAATTCTGTTCTGTGAATGTAACTTTTTCAGTATCAATACCTGCTCAAATAAGTATATAGTTTTGATACTAGTTTTAGTATTGATTTGTATATTTTTCCAATACTTTCAACAAACCTACATTGTATTACCTTTTCCTGCAGGTCCAGCACCATGATGGCATCACTGGCACAGAGTCACCCAAAGTGGCAGACATGTATGTTCAACATTTAACCCAGGCAATGATGGGAGTTGATGAACTACTGGCTGCACTTTTCCTTCTACCACACAAACTCGAATTACCCAACTTCCTCAACACAAACTACCAGGGGAAAGGTACCTATATTAAAGTAAATTTTTTACTGTTATAATACCCCTTAAAAGTTCTATATTACTCAAAAATGCCTCTTGTGGGGTTTAAGCCATGTTATAATGTTGTTACCTCATCAAAACATACCTGGAGTTGTGTTTTGTTTCATTCACACATGTTTGAGTAATCCTTTGTCAGAAGTCTGTCTCCATCTCTGAAGCTCAAAATGCTCTGTTCTATTTTGTGATGCCATGATGTGGTAGTTTTCAAGTTAACAGCTACATTTTATCTTTAGTTCTGTAGAGTGGAGCACTTCCTGTATTACCACTTAACATTACATAGTAGAACAGAGAGTTTTCTTTTGGAAAGAAGAACTTAGCCTAAATATACAGGGTTTGTGTGTTAAACCTGTGTGAATGAAACAAAACACAACTCCAGGTATGTTTTAATGAGGAAACAACATTATAACATAGATCAGAAAACAGTGTAATATAGACCCTTTAAGAATACTGTTACAAAAAGAGATGTTTTTATTTATGTCAACAGAAGGAGTTCATGAAGCACCAGAACAGCATATCATTGTTTACAATCCATTAGCTTGGAACGTCACAACCATCATCAACATCACTGTGAACTTTTCAATGGCTGCAGTCTTTGATGACATTGGAAGGCCAGTTCCTGCACAGGTAGTTTGTTTCC